CCTCTTGTTGCTCGCACCACAAGACCGGTCACCTCCACCACTAGTCGGCCTTCACAGTTTGCCTTAAAAGCAGCCGCAGCTCATTGTAGTCGCCACCTAACTTAGGTGCACCTCTTAGTTCAACCAAAACTAACCGCTACTTCCTGCAACCACTAGTCACCAATTATAAGCCATGGCTCTTGTGGCATTCCTCTCTATCCAGTTGTGCATTCAACAACTGTACACAACTCTCTTTGTTGTGTTTATCATGTTCATATGTAAACAACTTCACACAACTACGTGTTCTAGGTAAAATCCTTCAAGTAATTTTTTCATTTTCATAATTAATTACCATTCAATTCTTAAAAGATGTTGCAGATAATATCTCAAAATATTAGAGCATATTCCCATATAGGAATTTCACCTACGAGTTTCAATCAATTCAGGTTATACAATGTTTTAAAATAAAAAATTATTTGAGGTGATCTCAATTAATTCATCCTAAAAGGGAAAAAGAAGTTCAACCATTATCTAAGTATCAGATCTTAGAGACCTTATATTCGATGCCCGAGATGAAGAGGATTTCATGATCATGACATGACTCTGATTCTCAACTGCAGACATATTAATTGAATGTGTAGACAATCTAATATTGCAAACTCTTACTTGCAAGCTGGAAATTGACAACATCTATTTTTCAGCTTGAGATGAAGTGGTAAAGAGGAAATAAATTAAGGTATTAAAGATAAAGTAAATTAGGACATTAAAGAAGAAATGAATCAGGATTTTAAAGAGAAAGTAAATCAGAATATAAGAGAAAAAGTAAATTAGGGTGTTAGAGATGAAGTAAATCAAGTTTAATGATATAAAGATAAAATTACATCTTTTTGTAATTAATTATAATTAAATTTTTTTTTACGTAATAAAAAATCTGTATATATAACACTATAATATTCAATAGTAATGACATGAATTAAAAAAAAAATTATTCTTAACACATAATTTGTGTTAGGTCAGGTTTAATCGAAAATTTAATCGGACTAGTTCTAACACGAATAATATTTTCGATTAAATTTTCTATTGTGGTTAAAATCATACAAATTATTATTATTATTATTGTAGAGTGGATTACTTAGTGTTACCTTTATTAACCCATTTAAAAGAAAAGAATAATTACTCTAAGATGTTAAAAGGTTGTCTTATTATTTTAATATATGTTAGATGAATGACTGTATTGTTTTACTCTATTATTACATAATTATTATAAATTATCAGTAAAAAAATACTAGTCAATATATATTACCTATAAATATATGTAAATACATCAAATTTTAAAAAACAAAATTGTGCAAAATTTGTTATGAATGGTGAATCAAAGAAATTTATGGAAAGGTAAATTTTATTATATAAAGACATATATCTAATATTAAAAGGCAATAATGAAAATTATATATACAATGAACTTGTTAAATCAGTTAATTAAATAATCTTTTCTGAAAACTCTACTAAAATTAAATTAAATACAAAAAATTAAATTCGGTATATTTATTTTAGAAAATAATTATATTTGCGTAAATAGCACATTAGTTAAAAATTATGTATAAAGTATAAATAATTACTGCATAATATTATAAGTTATTTTGAAAAATTGAAAGAATGGATGACTGTGATTGTTCGTTGCTGATCCAACGGTCATAATTAGAGCAGCATGCATTATATATACGTTAATAATGGAGGTAGATCAGCACTGCATCTTCCATTTTGATTTCTCACAGAATGAAAATCAAAATGAGGTCGTGGTTGACGGTAGTAAACTGGGTGGTGATGGTACTGTTGATTCAACTCCATGGAGGCCTGTGTTGTTGGGAAGAAGAGAGATTAGGTCTTTTAGATTTCAAGGCCTTCTTCAAATCAAACAGTGAAGATGCCATCGATCTTCTTCCTTCATGGCTTGATGACGATTACAGTGACTGCTGCAACTGGGAGCGAGTCACCTGCAACTCAACCACAGACCGAGTCACTCAACTATGGCTTGACAATCTCAATAACAACAGTCTCAGTGACTACTATTACATTCACTATCAACCTGAAAATATTTTGTTTCTAAATTTTTCCATCTTCTTGCCCTTTAAACATCTGATAAGTCTGAATTTGTCCATGAACAATTTATTTGGTTCGATTGGAAATGCAGGTATGTATATGTTTACTTCATTAAAAGTAAATTTTCATTATTCAATCATATGTATATGTACACATGCATAAAACACGCTAAGGGTTTAAGGGTTTTTTTTTGTTATTTATTAAGATAATATATTTGTTCTATTTTATGTTTAAATTGATGAAATAGATTATGTATAAAAAAAAATTTACCATAATTTAAATTATATATTTATTAAATTTATTTTCATAATTTAAGTTATGTTTGAAATAAATAGAGAGATTTATTTCAAGATGTCCCCAGAATTCTTGATGATATTTCAACATGGTTTCCAAATATACACAGAGTTTCCCAAGCTTGTTCCAGTTTAGGAAGCTAAAGCATCTGGATTTTAAGTGCTAACAATTTTGATTAGAATTTTCAGCACCGGAGAATTTGGAGTTGTTGGATCTAAGTTGGAATCGATTCAATTCTTCTCTTTTGCCACAAGGTAAATAAATTGTCAACAAGCACTCTGCCATTTGCACATACACAATCTGTGCATATACATACATACATTCACATGTGCACACATATCCCGAGCTAAAATGAAAACATGGTTTCCAATCTGTGTATACATATACGTACGTGCACCCATACATATACACACTCACACACACACAATCTGGATACATATATATCTTTTATGACATTTCAACATGGTTTCCAAATATTCACAGATCCCTCGAGCTTTTCCAGATTTAGGAAACTAAAGCACCTGGATTTAAGTTATAACTCTTTTGACAATGGAATCTTGAGATACTTGAATCATCTCCCTGCTATTACATCTCTATCCTTGGCGTCTAATAACATGGGAGGACCACTTTCTAGCCATGGTAGGTGTATCTAACTTATTTCTGTTGTTTATCTTTGTTTCTTGTATACTTCTCGAGGGAGTAGTTTAAAAAAGTGATGATTAATTTCTATTGAGTTTACTAGAAGACAGCCTTTGTCTAGTTCTTGAGTGTGATAGTAGAGTTAAATATACTTTATGAGACAATTAAAAATCTTACATGTTCTTATTCTACATCGTCATATATTTAACCTTTTCTTTTTTAGTTTCAATCAACTTCTTGGCTTCATCGAAGCTAAGAGGCAATCATTTAATTACCATACCATTTACGTTTCTTGAGGGGAATATCTTTTCCTCTTGATTCCTAATAATATATCTTTTGTTTTCCTTTGAAAATATTATCACTCTATTACAGATTTCAAAAACCTCAGCAATTTGGAGAAGCTTTATTTGACCGGGAATAACTTTAACGGATCCCTTCCATTCTAGCAAGTGAGATAATTTTTTCTTTCTGACTTTCCTGACAATTTTGTGAGTTGTTGACAATATATTTCCTTTTGGTAGATATGGTAACTACAAAAACTTAAAGGAGTTAGATTTGAGCAGCAATCTATTTAGTGGGAACATTCCTCCAGAAATTGGAGCACTATCTTCTCTTAAGGTTTTTTCTGTGCATGATAACGAACTTAACGACTCTCTACCTATCCCGGGTAAGTATCAATTATCAATTATGGGCATTCTTGAGACTTTTTTCCGCTTTAGTTTCATAATGGCCATGGGTGAAAATTTTACTAATGAAAAGTTACTAGTTATGTTTGTTGGTTATGATATATTTATTCTCTCTTTTGAACAACAAAGAAACTAATGCAATAGCTAGTAGTTAGAGAAAATTGCTAATAGGATTTTTAGAAGATGTGATTAAATTGAATTATTTCTGCAGGTTTATGTGCACTGAAGCATCTTGAAGAATTAGATCTTAGTTGGAATAGATTTCAGGGGAGCCTTCCAACATGCCTAAAAAATTTGACATCCCTTAAGATTTTAGATCTATCTCAAAACCAATTTACAGGGAGCATTTCTTCTTCTTTAGTACCGGGCCTTGCATATCTTGAGTACATAGATCTAAGTCATAATTGTTTTGAGGGCTTGTTCTCATTCAGCTCATTCGCTAATCACTCCAAGCTTGAGGTGGTTCAATTTCTAAGTGATAATAGCAAATTCGAGGTTGAAACTGAAGATCCAGATTGGTTTCCTTCTTTTCAGTTAAAGGTTCTTGTGCTATCTAATTGCAACCTGAATAAGCTCACTGGTCATGTGCCTACATTCCTCTTGAACCAATCCAACTTGCTCATGGTTGACTTGTCTCACAATAATTTGGGAGGAAGCTTCCCTAGTTGGTTTCTTCAGAATAATATTGGGCTGAAAGCTTTGTATCTAACAAATAATTCTTTCACCGGTCAACTTCAGCTATGGCATGTTCATCATATAATTTACTTGGATATCTCAGGCAATGACTTGAATGGACGACTTCAAGAAAACATTGGGAACCTTCTTCCACACATATTGCATCTTAATATGTCCAACAATGCTTTTGAAGGCAGTCTTCCATCTTCAATTGGTTACTTGAATGAATTGGAAGGATTGGATTTGTCCAATAATAATTTTGTAGGAGAAGTCCCCAAGGAATTGATGGTAAATTGCACCAGGATCTATGTTCTAAACTTAAGTAACAATAAGTTCTACGGTGAGATATTTTCTTCTCACTTGAACTTAACTTCGATAACATCATTACATTTGAACAACAATTTGTTCAGTGGAACTTTTTCAAATGCAATATTACAATGTCCAGATATAAAGTTATTAGATGTTGGCAACAATTACATGTCAGGAGAAATTTCGAGATGGATGGATAATATAACAAGCTTGGATATCTTTTTACTAAATAATAATTTTTTTGAAGGTGAAATTCCATGCAATATGGGTAGAAATAAATTCAAAGGTACACTTCGACTAGTAGACCTATCTCACAACTCTTTGTCAGGGTCTTTACCTTCATGCTTAAGACTAGAAATGGTAGAGCGTATAAATTTACAAGGAAACAATCTCAGTGGACGATTACCTAAAAGTCTTCTCAACTCATCGACATTGTTGATGCTGAACATTAGAGATAATGGCTTTATTGGCAGCATTCCTGACATAATTACAGTTCCGAACTTGCGGATTATGTTGTTTGGAAAAAATTACTTGAGTGGTACAATTCCTAAAGCTCTATGCCAATTAGAAAAGATAAGCTTCATGGACCTATCCCACAACTTTTTAAGTGGGTCAATTCCTCATTGCTTCGACAATATCTCATTCGGAAGTTTAGTAACTAATGATCATATCTTCAAATTTCAAAGAGTTATAACCAATTTTTGGCATTTTTCATTTTACAAATACAAAAGCCAATTGTATAAGGTACTTCACCATCAAGTTCTTACCCCATATAGATCATATAATTTGCAAGATGAAGTTGAGTTTATTGCGAAAAATAGGAACAATTCCTACGAGGGAGACATTCTCAATTACATGTCAGCATTGGATTTGTCCTACAACAACTTAACAGGTAACATCCCAGGAGAACTAGGAATGATGTCTGGGATTCATGCACTGAATTTGTCTCACAATCAACTCACAGGCTCAATTCCCATAACATTCTTAAACCTTAAGAAGATAGAGAGTTTGGACCTTTCCCACAATAACTTGATTGGAAAAATTCCTTCAGAGTTGAACAAACTTCACTTTTTGGGAGTATTTAGCGTTGCGTATAACAATTTGTCGGGAAAAATTCCTGATGATCGAGGACAATTGGGGACATTTGCAAAAAGCAGCTTCGAAGGTAATAAATTTTTATGTGGGTATCCATTGGAGAAGTGCCAAGGGGAAGATGATTGGAATAAGAAAACCATACCCTTCATCAGATCAAAGTGAAGAAAAATGGCTGGAGATTGATTGGCTGATCTTTTTTGCTAGTTTTTCAATGGCTTTTGTTATATTTTTCTTTGGAGTTGTTTCTGTTCTTCATATTAATCTCTATTGGCAGTATAGATTTCATGAATGTATTTATTCATGCTATTATTTTGTTTATGATACTTTTTATAAGCTTTTTAGGTCTGTATGGTAATAGATTGTTGATGGTTTACTCTGTTTGTGACTCTTTTTGAATATCTGCATCTGTAGAAACAAAAATAAGATGCCAGAAATAAGAATTTTAACAATCCAGTCCAAGTCGGCAAGAAGAAATATAAATTTTTAAATGGTAATTTTATGTAATTTACTCTTCTAAAAATTCAGTCTTCAAAACTTGTTTTTACAGGATTAAAAAAAAAAAAATTTACTGATTCACAGATAAAAAAATGGGAATGACTCGTCAACAAAAGAAAAAGACTGATTGTCACTTTCCCTTCTGTCGATTTATCTTTTCTTTCACTCTCCTGCTTGCCAAACAGATGCCAAGATCCCACATTGTATCAGGTCTCCTTCACTGGTTGTTATTGACTTTGTGTGATTCCGATTTATAATGGATGCGAAAACTGTCTTATCCTTTCTGAAATCTTTTTGAGGCCAAAATTAAAGAAATTCACTGTAAATTAATATCCATCCACCGTCAATCCCAAAAAAAAAAAAAAAACCAATGCCTAAATGGAAGTAGAAGTGAAGCTCCGTCTCCCCGACTCCGATTCCCACCAGAGACTCTCAGATCTTCTCTCTCCCTTCCACAGAAAAACTCTAATCCAAGATAACTTTTTCTTTGACGACGCCGACTCCAATCTCTCCTCGAACCTCGCCGTCCTCCGTCTCCGCTTCTACGACCTCGATGCCCGCTGCGTCCTCTCCCTCAAAGCCAAGCCCGTGATCTCTCGCGGGATCAGCCGCGTCGAAGAGCTCGAGGAACCCGTTTGTCCCCAGAATGCGCGCGCCTGTCTAGCGGACCCGCGTCTTCTATGGGTCTCATTCGGCGAAACCAAGATCATGAAGCGGGTGAGTGAGGAGTTCGGGGTGCGTGCCGGGACAGGATTCCAATATTTAGGAAGGTTCGGAAATGTGCGGGGAGTGTACCGGTGGAGAGAGCTGACTCTGGAGCTTGACGAGACTATATATGAATTCGGGACGAGTTATGAGATTGAGTGTGAAACTAGGGATCCGGAAAGAGATGGAGCACTGATTGAAGATTTTTTGAGGGAGAATGGTATTGATTTTCAATATTCTGACATGAACAAATTTGCAGTGCTTCGAGCTGGGAAGCTGCCTAAATGAGATTGCGACTGCTGCTCATTGCAAAAATGGGTAATGTTCTCTTTGTTCAGTAACATCTATTTGTAGTTGGGAATTGTTAGAATCTGATTCATTTGGTGCTGCTACATATGAAGTTTCCATTAACATGGAAAAACACCAGTGTTTTTTTTCCTCCAACCTCTGCTGTTCTAATCTGGAAGATGGAGTTGTTCGGATTTTTGAAAGCTGTAGATAAACAGCATGAATTATTTTGTGATTATGATTATGTAAATGGGAAAGGTCTTGTATCCAGATAAGGAGTCATGATGATGCTTTTCTGGAAGCTTTTGGTTTCTCTAAAAACTTCAAACTAATTCTAGTGTTATAACAGCTCTTATCAAAATGGGCATTGAATGACAAATCTTACTGCCAGCTGATTGTAATAGCAATGATACTGCTGGGTTATCCATAAGGTACCCCCAAATGCCTGGAAATTGAAGTACTTCTGTTCCATAATTGAATCTGGGTGGATGATTTCCTAGCATAATGAATTGCTTAGTATGGTTCATGACCAGGTAGACACTAGACAACACCCAGGTCTAATGTTCTTGAAATGTTGTAAACTGTTCATCTAGTAGGAAACAAGATTATACATCCAAATACTGTGTTTGTAAAGCCTTTTCTTTTAAGTCAGTTTATGAAACCAAAAAAAAAAAGAAAAAAGGAAAGGATGTTGATATCTTAGTTTTTACCTCTGGTTTCCAGTCTCTGTTCTTCATTATGTACTGTCATATTAAGCACCATCTTCAGTCTCGGCATCAGTATCAGAATCATCATCATCCTCAGAATCGTTTCCTTCTCCAGACTCACTGTTTATCATATGCGTCATCATTTAAATCGCTACAATCTTGATATTCTCCATTTTTAGCATCCCCACTACAATCTTGATATTCTCCATTTTTAGCATCCCCAGGTTCAGAATCATCACTGCTCTCAGCAACATACTCCTTTTCTCCAGTTAAGTCAGCTAACAGAAACCTGCAATGAAGTCATTTACCCGTATTCCATTACAATTTCAATTTTTGAAATATTTACTGGGTAATGAGACTGTGGAAAAAAAATAAATATTTTAACCTATACCTACATTCTGCTGCAGTTGAATTCAAAGAACGTTTTGATACTTCCAGGATTGGAACCAATAAACAGAAAAGAGAAAGCATCAATGAGAAACTGCAGAATCACTAAAATCATTAGTCATCTAACCAAGTTTCCTTTTTTTTCTCTACTCAAAATTTATATATTCATTAATTATGTAATACAACCAAATGAAAAACGTATCTCATTCACATTCCAGTTGATGACAAAAACCTCTACTTATAACATGGCATGTGTTTACAACCAATTTGGGTCGCTTGAACAGTTTAAGTAAAACACTGATTTCTCTTTAGACTCGAAAATTTCAAGGTATTAAACGTGAACTACAACATGATTCACCATAAAAGCTGCATACTGCCAATTACAATGAACCAATTTTCAGGTTATAGATATAGAATGGAGTCAGTGTAAATCTTTCTGATATTTATCACAGTAAGCAGGCTTTAAAACCCTTATCTAATTCCTCTTGATCCAGGTTCTTTCCAATGAAAACAATCTTGTTTACTCTCGGCTCGCCTGGACCCCATAACCGATCAGGTGATCCTTGGAATATGTCATGAACTCCCTGCCCCATGGAAACAAAAAAATCAGTTTAAAACGAATACTGGGAACAGAACCAAATGTTCCAAGTGAAATAAACTGCCTTCAATTACCAACACAAAAAGTTACGAGGATGTTACACTCCCCTCATTTTCTAAGAATGTTATACACCTATGAACTCATTAATTGGGTATAAAGCCAATATAAATATTTTTTTAAAGAATATTCTCAAAGTGTTTGAATAATACAAGATTATAAGCTCTATTAGATTATTTACACATTGGAAAAGATACAGTCTATGAATTGTCAGTTTTATCAAAATGATTACAAAAAAAATTCAATAATTTTAACTATAATAATATAGTTTGTCATAAATTTAATTATCTATACTTTTTTTATACAGACTAATATAAACTTATAGCAAAACATAATTTTCAAATCAATTTTTTTTTTTAATTTTACATTAATACTCATTATTTACTTTGCATTAATTATCATGTTAATGATATTTCTATAACGATATATTATTTAAAAACACTAAAAAATCATTAATTATTAATTAACTAATAGGTCATTCGGTTTACACCGGAGTAAAAGAACGAAAATGGGAAAAAACGAGGCACTATGATTTGAAAAAGAATTTGTCAACTACAATATTTTTTCAGAGAGCTTATAGCCTCTACACAAAAGTGGGGGTCAATAGCTTTCTCAAAAAACATTATAAAAGCTTATAAACTGTCCGACTTATAAAGTTCAGTTCTTTACCAAACATGTAAAAAAAATTTAGAACCCTATTAAAGTGCTTATATACTTTTTTTGACCAAAAAATAAGTCAAGTCAAACATCCTCTACCAGTGACCTTTATGCATCTTTGTAAATATTCTGGAGTAACATAGTGGATAATGCATTGAAGAAATTTGACAGAGCAAAAACACACATGAAAGACAACTTCTAATTTTTGCTTTTTCCATTTAAGGATTTGTACATTAGGCATACTTCTAAAACAATTTCATTAATCCTTGAGAAGAATTGGCGAATATTAAGACCTTCTTCAGTTAAATTAAACTACTTTCTAACTTTTATTTGTTTATACATAAAAATATAGTAGCTGTTGGAAACGGAAACAAATTTAAATAGTAGTAAACATATGGCATGAGTTTGAAATAAATAAAATGTTATTTTCAAAACCCATATCATATTCCAGACCTTGTTTCTGTTTTCAACAAATACACAACTTTTGTTAACAACAATGTGTGAATCTAGAAAATGAAAATTGAAAAATATTCCATATACCAGATATCTTATGACTACTAAATTGACTGACACAATTATCCAGCACAGGTCCTTTGTTATGATTATGGAATCATTTTATTCCAATTTAGCTATCCCATTATGATTATTGAAGGTCAATTGTAAGGAAGAAGATTTCAGCAAATAAAACATTTTAGTCGGTCCACGTCAAATAATATACTTTGCTTAATTAATGATTCATAACTCAAAAGCCTAGTTTACCTGGAAGACAAATCTCTCATCCATGCCCTGAACTGAGAGAAGACCCTTCATTCTATATATATCCTCGCTACGTTCCAACAATAAAGTACCAAGCCATATGTTTGCCTGAATTCAGACAGGAAATTGGACAAATTTCAGACTTTGGTAGTTAGTAGGCAAATAAACCACCAAAAAACAAAATTCATGCTTCAAGTAGCTCTAAAGAAGAATCGCGTTACATAAATTTTTTTAAGAAAATTACAAAAGGCATTCATTTCCTTAGCTTTATTATAAATTCATTTTTTTAGACTATATCAGACAAATTGATATGTCTGCAGTATTCACCGAAATCCATGGCAATCATGAAAAGCACAAACAGAAAAATTTAAAGCAAACCTTCTCAAGATCTAAGCTCCCTTCACAAACTATGCTGACAGAAGAAACACCAGGATCATGAGTGTGATCATGAGAATGATGATGATCATCATGATGTTCTGCATATACCAGAAGCAGTAATTATTATATATACAAAATCTTAAAAATTTTATATATCATAAATATATCAAAAACTCAAATATATTAGAAACACAAACACAGAACTGAGAAAATCACAAACCACAACATCTAGAATGGGAGAGAATCAAATGAGAAATAATTAGAGTGATGAGCAGTTTTGGTGGTAACTTCAGTCATTTAGACAACAAGAACGCCAAAACTGTTGAGTACTTGTTTAATTCAGAAAACATTTTCAATTTCCTGTCTTCTATCTCCCTCTCTCTGTTTCCATTTCAACATAAATTGTAAATAATGTCTAAATGGTGGAACTATAAAACAAATTTTCAGAACTAAAAGTAGCTCATCGAAACTGTGTTGTTGCGTTTGTTTTCCACTGATAAACAAGACTCTGATATGGAAAATAACCATGCATTTGGTATAAGCAAAATAATTTCCAATTTCATTTCATAGACGTATCCATACACACACACACACACATATATATATTTGAATACATGCACATATGTATACCAGTATATAACATGTATGTACTTGTGTGTGTGTCTCTCTCTCTCTCTCTTTAGTTACACAAGCATATAACATGTACTTGTGTGTGTGTCTCTCTCTCTCTCTCTTTAGTTACACAAGCATATATATATTTGAATACATGCACATATGTATACCAGTATATAACATGTATGTACTTGTGTGTGTCTCTCTCTCTCTCTCTCTTTAGTTACACAAGCATATAACAGTAGCCTTCGGTGGAACCACAAAAGTGAGTCCTGCATTTGCTGATTAAGAAAAAGAAGAAAAAACTTAATTTTTTTTTTGGCTGGACGAAACAGAAAAGTTGAAACAGCATAAAAAGTCATAATTTGAGGAACTATTTAGTTCTGCCACCAGCGGACTAAATTGTTACATGTTGGGAACTTATATTTTTTTTTTTTACTTTCTGATATCTCGCACACATTTTACATCAAATTTCCAAGTTAACCTGATTCTCAAGCAAAATAAATCTCCTAGAATATGATTTAAAATAAATCTCACATTTTTGGATTAGGTAAATATAATCATTATGTTACAGTAATATTATTTATTATATTATTGTTTTCGTGTGAATAATTTATTCATATTCATAACTTAATATTTTTGATAAATTTATTAGTAACTAACTGAAAGATTAATTAAAAAACTGTTATCATTTTAACTAAAATAAATTAATAAATCTATATATTGTATACAAAATTTTACTAATTTAGTGCATTATATAATAATTTATTGTTTAATAATTAAAAAACAAATCAACAACTAAAATTGAACAAACAAATGAGAATATTTTAGTAATTATCAACTGTTTCACTCAGTTCATTGGTTACCAAACAGAAAGTAGAACAGATTTGTCAAGTCCAAAGACATACACCAAGAGGAACAAAATATCTTCTCTGGTTCCGTAAAATCCTACTTAATTCTATCCTATTCGGTTCTTTCTAACCACCAAGTACCAAATATGTATATGTATTTATTTATAGTGTTTGTCTGTATCTATTTATCTACTAATGTGTGTAACTAGAAAATTGTGTAAATATATATGTATCTAATACTTACGTATAAACAGAAAACAATTTTTTAGTAGCCACTGAAGGCAGTTTTTTACTACTTTCAAAGTCATACAATATATTTATTTATTTTCAATACAACCCATGTTCTTTCTACAATCATTCTAAAAGAATGAAAACATAATAGTTTACATATGAAACCTTATACAGCTTAAGATTTTCAATTTCACAAGAAAAGGAAAAGAAATTTTTTTCAAGTAATTTGCATCCTTGAAACCTCACCTTCAATTAATCAAAAAGACCAAAAAAAATAGCGAATCTTGTTTCTTTTTTTTTTTCAGCACAATATTTCCCAGAATTTCTTCTTTCAGAAGACACCTTTGTTCTTTTACAGCTAAGAGCAAGCCTTGTTGTTATGCAATTACTGCTTTGAAATCTCCCAAACAGGAAAAAGAATAATTTAAAGAAATAAAAAGCCTAGAGAGGAATGCAAAGAAAATTTTGGCTAAAAACTGTCAGATTAAATTTTTTGCCTCTTTCCACCACCTTTTATGCAACCCATAAAGTATTATCAAAATCACTCTTGGAAGATAAGCAATTGCTCTCCAAAACAAAATGAGCTTAAAATGCCCAACCAAAAGAAAAGAAAAGTTTCAGATATCCAACAATGATTAATTCATCAAATCTCAGATCTTCACAGTTGATAAACTTTAGAACTCAGCTAAGAAGTCTAACATAAAAATCGACAACGAAATCCTAATAGTCTCTATGGAGCTTCTGTATCTGTAGAGTCCTCTGAGTGATTTAACGTTTAGAGTGTTTGTTGCACTGGCCAACCATGCCGGTGGGACAGCGGAATTTTTTTATTGTTGAGCAGAAATCTTTTGATGGAGCGGAAGAGGGTAGGGGCATTAGAGTTTTCGAAAACGGTAGGAGCTCTCGGAGGTCTATTTTTCTCCAGAAAGAAGACGTTGAATGGTTCTTAAATAGTCTCAGAGAGTTCAGATGAGAGAAAGGAGAGTTGGTCTGGAGTAGGCTCCAAAGAAATTGTTGGAGAACGCTGCGCTTGGTTCTAAATTGCAATAAGTGTGGTAGATTCCTGGCGTTATCGAAAGGTAAAGATGACTCAAGAGGGAGGTCCAATATGTTAGTTTTCCCTGAAGGGGGGATTGGGCTGAAGGGTGGTGGAAATTAATAGATGCTCTCCATGAAATTGCTGGGGTGAAATGATTCCCCCAACGTGGCTGAGGAAAAAAAGAAATATGACTGATTGGGAATCCTTTCCCCAGACGGTGCGAAGCGCTGTGGTATTTAAGTGCCCTAGATGCAGTCTTGAGCTGGTGGAAAAAGAGAAGGTATCATTCGCTGAAATCCTCAGTCGACCAGGTGGGGAGGTGAGTCGGGTAAGGTAGGAAGGGAAGGCGGATCATAGTGGGTTGGGTAGAAGAGATTTGAAATTTGAAATTCAGGAGAGTGGGGGTCATGTGACGAGGATGGGGTGGGTGAATGAAAAGGGAAGGATGTACAATGGGCCGAATGAGCGGGGGAAAAAAGATAAGCTCTCGTGGGCTGAAAAAAGGAAAGTGGGTGAATGATCCTGGGCCGAGTAAGGTTGCGAGTAAAAAAAGGATGAGGAAGATTTGGCAGCCTAAACGGGCCAAGTTCGGATCGCCTAGAATTCCGAGTCTAGCAGGTCAGTATAAAGGGGTTAAATCGGGTGAAGTTATGGATAAATCTTTAGAGACCCCGACTCTGTTGGTGAGGGTTAGGGTTGGAGGGGAAGTGGATGGGTCAAGTTCCGTTGACACGACGAAGGTGGGCGGCGCTGGGGTCGAAGATGGTTTGGGTTCGCTCCAATCAGGTGTTTTTGTTTCTAGGTACTCTGTGGTTTATTCGGAGGGAGGAATCGATGGGGCCGATGGGATTGAGACTGATAAAGAGGAAGGGGAGAGTACGGTTAGGAGAAGTAGTGAGTTGGTTGTGGTTGAGTCAAGGTTGGTGGATGATTGTGGGGAGGTGGCTCTTGATGCGTCTCCCTTACAAAGCGACATACTCAACTGCAAGCTAGTGCATATGGCTGACCAAGGAGCGAGAAGAAATGTACTCGGGCTGGGTGCAGAGAAATTTTGTCAAGGTGAGTAAAATGTTTGGACTATCTTTTGAGGGCCTTGAGCATAGAGTGTTGAGTCTGTTGGCTAAACTGGAGTTAAGGTTCCTGGAAGCGGAAAGAGAGAGGGAAAAAAATAAAGAGATGAGTAGTAGAAATGGGGAAGGGAGAGTAGAGAATTGAAAATATTGGAGTGGTCTTTAAATTATGAAGCTAAAAAATCGGCAGGAGGGGAGAAGGGAGGTAAGCTAAGCAAAAAATAATGATGGTAGGGAAAATCATTCCATGGAATGTGAGGGGAATAAATGATCGTAAAAAGCAAAGGATTATTAAAGGCTGCATGGGAAGATGGAAGCTTAACTTGATCTGCCTACAAGAGACCAAGTTGGGGGAGATAAGTATGTAGGTAATTAGCAATCTGTAGCATGGCAGTAAGGTGGACTGGGTCTATACACGTGCTGATGGGCTTGCGGGGGGTATCCTTTGTAATGTGGGATAAAGAAAAACTAGTTTGCAGAGGGGTGGAGACCTATCGATTTTGTTTGAGAATCGGGGGGATGGGAAGAAATGAGCTTTCTCTGGAGTACACTGTAGAGGTAACAGAGGCTACAAGAGGAACTGAGTAGTTGTAAAATAAGATGGGGTGAGAACTGGTGATGGGGGGGACTTCAACATGGTTTTCAATATGCATGAGAGGTCGAGAGGGGGTACCAGTAGTAGGGAAGTAGAGGAGTTAAGGGACATGGTGGATTACCTGGAAGTGGTGGATCTTCCGCTAGGGGGAGGCGGGTGGACGTGGTCAAACTCGAGGATTACCCCATCATGGTCAAGAATTGACCCTTTTTTATCTCTAACGGGTTGTTAATGCAGCTTGCAGGTTTGAGGCAAAAAGTGTTGTCCCAGCCAGTTTCAGACCACTTCCCTATTTGCCTTGTGCCTGAAGGCATCATTTGGGGCCCCATCCCTTTTAGCTTGAGAACAAATTGTTGAAGGTGACGAGTTTAAGACCTTTGGTGGAAAAATGTTGGAAAGAGGCGGCTGTTGAGGGGACTGCTAGTTTCAAATTTGCCTACAAGCTGATATATTTGAAGAACACTATCAAATGTTGGGCCAGGCAGGAGGAGGGCAGATTGGAGAGGGTTATCAAGGAATATTTTGTGGAGTTGGATGACTTAGATAATAAGGAGATGTGGGGGTCGTTAGGTGAGCATGGTAAGTCTAGAAGGGAGGAAATTAAAAAGGAGATGGCCTCTACTATGAACTTGGAGGCGATCTCATGGAAACAAAAAGCTAGAGAGAAATGGCTGAAAGACGATGATAGAAACACTAAATACTTCCAATGTCTAGCTAATTTCAGAAGGAAAAATAATTATGTTGAGATGTTGTGCTAACAAGTACTAGTCCCATTTATATCAAAGACATTATGCAGTGCATTCAATAATTATTTGAGCATTTTCTAAGTAGTTTAATTATAGATAAATAGCTTGTTGAATGCGATCAGAAGCTTGTACCTTACCTTTTTACACATTATGCTCGTAGTTCTCAGGAGTTAACATTCTCATGCAAAGCACCAGAAAAATCAGGCAGCTGTAAGATTACTATAAAAATTTTCTTTCTTTTTTTTCTGCTAAATAGAAAAGGAACAACAGGAACTAGTGAAGTAGCTACTTCTCCCAGACATTAGTATTAGAGTTCTCTCTCTAAGAGAAATCCATTATGAAATGTTCCAGTTGAGCTACAGATATTCCTCTTTGAACGAGGCTAGCCCTTCAGTTCTATCAAAGCCCTAGAATGGTCAATTAGATAAAGGGCTGCTCCAAATATAAGGATTTTAGTAGCAGAATGTTATATGTGCTTTCCACACTTAGAAACTGAAAAAAAAAAAAAAAAAAGAAAAGTCGCAGAAAGTGCTTGGGAATATTAAGTTCAACCATGACCACAGAAAAAGTGTGATGAAGAAGAAAGCCAACATTGACAGATTCTGTTGTCTCAAGAATAAGATAAAAGATTAAAAAAACAATTATAATAGGAGCATTAAAATGGAAACTTAGCATGCAAAATAGTAAGGAATAAACAGAGAATCTTTTATTCAAATGCAAGACATGTGATCAACAAGTACCAAAAATTGAAGATTCTCATGTTGCATTTCAACTATATGTTCTTTCAATTTATGCAACAGTATAGTGGCAAATAAAGTTACCATGCTTGTGATCATGCTCATCATGATGATGATGGTGGTGATCATGACCGTGGCTCTTGTGAGCTTCTTTAGCACCTTCGGCGTTGACAGCACTCTCAATTCTGGGAAGATTTCATCAAATGTCAGCCAAAAGTAAATTCATACACATTCAAGAAGATGGATGACCAAGAAGCACACAGCTAAATGGAAGCATTCCAGCATATCTAAAATATCAGGCATCACCATTATTTCAGGAAACAGATAGCATAGTGAAGAGAATATAAACCAAAAGGACAGAAACCAAAAATTTCTTAAGCATAATAAATCACTTGCATAATCTAATCTGAAAACAACAATAAGAATCTAAATTACACCACATAGACCCAGTGGTAAATATGGCCAGATTCTTTTCATTCTCCTTTCTTTCCATCTCTATGGTCAACAGACTCAATGACCAGCCAAAGACAGCAAGAAGTTATTTTACCCAATAAGTGAAAGTAAATCCGACTTATATTGATAGGACCATTAGACCCTGAATCTGGTTAGAGAGAAATCAAGGGCTTACGTTTAAGGTAGTGAAGAAGAAGAGAAAATTAGAAGAAGAGAAGAATAATAGGAGAGAAGAGAGTAGAGAAAAGATAGAGAATGGTTGCTGATTCTGTTCTGAAATTTTAAGTAAAACATTTCTTGTTTTCTCATTTTTCCTTCCAATGCCTTTTCTACCATCCCTTACTCATAACCAAAAGCTATAAAAGAAAAGTAAAGCAAATCTGCAGCAAAGTAGAGAAAAGAAAACAAATCTGCCAGAGGCAGGACAACCCTAGGACCATATTTGTACCTAATCTAGGATTAACTAAATAATCATTAATTAATCTAATTGTGGCTGGTTACTGCTGGGTTGCTGGTCCTGACAATCCCTTCCCCTTCAAAATCTTCCTTGTCCTCAAGGATCATATTAGCCTTAAGCTAAAGAGCAATTGAAGATATGTTGAGCCATCATATGAGAGATGCTGAGCAAACCACCCCCATTCTGACCTACACACTTCATTATACTCCAGTTAACAAGTTTGAGCAACAATAATTTATCTATGTTACTAAACATATAGCCAAACATCCTTCAAAAGAGCTCCATTGTTGTTGAAACCAGAACTTAATTGACTTTTAGAAAGATAATCACCATCCACAAATAGAGTCCGGATTCTAATTGAATTTTCAAAGGAGCTCAATGTTGACGGCTTCACTGAAGTGCTGTAGTGATGCCATCCCTTGATCTTCTTGGTGCTAATACATAACTTTAGAAGACATTGGAAAATATTTTCGTTGAGGAATTTTAACAAGCAGTTGATACTTATTCTTCAAATGCCCTTCATTCCCAGCAAGCTTTACATGCTTGGACCCTTCATTAATTTTCATTTCATCAAGTTTCTCAACCATCACAGGTTCCACAATATTTCCGCTCTTATCTCATTATCAATTGTAGGAGGAAACATTGAACCCTCAATGTTTCCAACAAGAGGAAAATTTTCAGTAGGACTAACTAGTGCAAAAGCTGAAGAAGATGGATGACTCTTCCACGTGGTAGGAGAGAAAGTATTGCTGCACAATCTTTTTCATGCTTCGTTGAATCCCTGTTCACATCAACAAAAGCACACCTGTAGTTTTGCCACCAAAGTTCGTCACTCTCTCTAGTCTTGTTTAGATCTGTCCTGAACTTTTGGAGTATCCGTTCTAATTTGAGCATGTGGGTGGTAATCGATCATGATGAACTTTAAAGTAGATTGCAGAGACAAAGAAAAAAGAAGAAAGAGGCTTTACTGTTTGAAACGTAGAGGGAGCTACAAACAGGGAAAAACGAGAGGAGAAGAAGAGAGTCGCAATAGAGAGGACAAAAGCAGAGAAGATTAGAGGAAGGAGCATGGAAGAAGAAGCAATAGCCACCAAGGATAATTGGCTCTGATACCATTTCTTAGGATGTTCAGAGCCTGAATCTGGTTACAGAGAAATTTAGGACTTACATCTCGAGTAGAGAAAGAAGAAGAGAGAAAGAGAAGAAGAGAAGGATAATAGCAGAGAAGAGAATAGAGAAAAGATAGAGAATGGTTACTGATTCTGTTATGAAATTTAGGTAAAATGTTCATTCTTTTTTTTTTTTTGAAATAAAAAATTTAGGTAAAAAATGTTTCTTCTTCTCATTTTGCTTTCCACTGCCTTTTCTACCATCACTTACTCATATAACCATATCATGGAACCACTTCTCCCAAAATCTGTCTGATATGGAGACTCTGGACATGTCAGTTTTATTGGACCTTTTAGGACTCTATCATACCATTCTCACAACCTGATGTTTGACTATGGAACTTGGAATCTTCCAGCTTTTTTATCTATAAATCCCTCTTTGGCTACCTCCGAAGCCCTCATCAATCCCTCATCGACCCCTCTCTGCCCCTTCTAATAACATATTTTTTTTGCCCGCCAGATACATATTGCCAAGGATTTCTAGAAGGTTCCTGTTCCCCCCCCAAGGCGAAGCTCTTTGTTTGGACTGCTACTCACCAAAAGTTGAACACAAATGACTTGCTCCAGATTCGCCATCCTCATCAGGCTCTTTCTCCTGATATTTGTTTTATATGCTTTAAAGGTGGTGAAACTCATGATCATTTGTTTCTTTACTGTGATGTAGCTTGGAAACTGTGGACAGATGTTTTCAAGATATTTATTATGGTCTGGGTGTTGGCCCCTACAGTAGAAAGCTTTCTCTCTACTCAATTGAGTGGGCATGGGCTGACGAGGGATGCTAAGCCCTTGCGGAAGGGAGTATTGTTTGCTGGTCTATGGTGTATTTGGCTCGCTCGTAACTCAAGAGTCTTTAATAACATACGCACTCCATACTCCAAGTTATGAGATAGGGTGATTTTTTTGACTTCCTTATGGACTAAAAGACATGACTGCTACCAGGATTTTAGCATCTCGGGTCTTCAATGCAATTGGAATATCTTGACTTCCTTATTCATGATCGTTAGCTTTTTATGTTGTCTGTTTCTGGTGCTTTTGATTAGATTTACTTTTTTTATATTTCATTCTTTAGGGAGGATTCTCGTTCTCCTACCTTGTATTTTCTTCTCTTCATCTTAATAATTTTTTTTATTAAAATAAACCATGGGTGGTCATCAGATTGCATAACAAGTTCATGTAATCTGATTCTTCCCTCATCCCCAAAAAAAAAAAAAAATCAAACGTGAACAAAATGGAAAACAAAGACCAAGACAGAATGGTTCACTTCTCATGTTGATTACAGCAGTCAACTTATTTTCAAACAAGCATGGATTTCAGAAAACTATATGACAGAGAAGATACTGCCCAAGCTATCCAATAAGTATCATTATCCAGAAGATCTTACCAAAGATAATTAATTACTTCCCAATATCCATTTGAGTATAAGTGAAAAATATAGTAGTAAATGGAACATAAGAGCATTCAAGCACCCAATTAGCCTTTATCAGCAAGAAAATGGAATAAAATAATGATTGTAGGTGGGAGAATTTTCCTATATTAACCTAGCCTATATAGTCACTAGAGTAATATACGTGGAGTTTTTATCAGGCCAGAATACACAGAATATGAAATTATGCAAGCAGTACAGAGAAGCTTAACTAGTAGCCCATTCAAAACAGTGACGTAGTACAGACAGACATATAAGTAAACATTTTCATAAACCAAAAACAGAAGCATCCCAAATCAACATTAATATAAAACAATTGCTTCTTCAGTAAGAAATGAAGCTAATTAAGACTGAAAAAAAAAAGGAGTAGAAACTAACCTCTCTAAATCAAAGCCTCCAATTCCAAGAACATAATCCAAGTCAACTTTCCCAAACTCTGTCCGCTTCATATAAGCCATACGATTAATGTTCTGAAAACAAATCTCAACTTCAATACGATATAACCAAAATAAATTAAATCAAATAAGAACATTAGAGATGTTTTGATGACGAAAAGGGTAGCCACATAAGTAGTTTCTGACCCTTATCCGCTGCACCAAAGAAGCAATTTCAGGCTCACCAACAAGATCAATCTGCAATGATATAAAAAAGTATTTCAATTCAGTTTGGTACTACCACAACAAGACAACACATCCCCCCTTACAAATCTAGGAAGATTTTCCAATGATTGTAATATTATCGGTAACAACAGCATAAGTAACATAAAATAAAATCTTCTAGTTGAGATGATCATAAACAAACTGTTTCACTTCTATGATATCCATCTATTTCTCATCCAAATAATCAGTGAATTCAGTAGCACAAGTCGCAATAATAAAAGTGAGTCAGATGATGCAAGGAGCAAGGAAAATGCAGGTAACAAAATGTGGAAATATGTAGATAACAAAACATATCCCCAAAAATAAGTCCAATGCAAAAATTAGAAATATAAACATGCAGATACCTTATTCAATATAATGCGGTCTGCATAAGCAATTTGTTCCACTGCCTCATTGACTACTCCTTTCGGTTTAACTTCATCGAGGTGAAAACCAGCATGTTTTGCGTCAACTAAAGTTACAACACCGTCCAACTTGACATCACTGAAAATTTCTTCTTCTGCATAAAATGTCTGAATGATTGGGGCGGGATTTGCCAATCCTTTCACCAGACAAGTAGTGAAGAATTAGCATCTCTCATCCAGAACTCTGAATAACTGAATGAATAGGATAATCAATGAAGAAATACCTGTAGTCTCTATTACAATATGGTCAAATTTCCCCTTCCTCGTTCTGACCAATTCTGAGATCATCCTCACAAGATCACCTCTAACTGTACAGCATAGACAGCCATTGTTAAGCATAATTATGTCCTCAGCTCCAGCAGCTTTGGCAGCAACTAGAGAGCCATCAATGTCTACTTCACCATACTGCAATTTAAATAAAAGCATTAACTACCAATCACTCACACCAAGATGTCAAATATAATCCTCGTGACCCATTTAGAAAACTTCTACCAGAAAATATTGCAAGATTTATCAGATATTAAAGATTATAATTAAGTGAATGCCCTAATGGTCCTTCGCTTCATTTCTCACTTAATTGCTATTCAAGTTTTAGATCAAATATTCATATTAGCCACTATATGCATGATGAAAACATAAAACTCTCGTATTCATATCCCCACCCTTACCATGAATTATTTAGGTGGGAAATTCAACTACTGCTTCTCAAAATAGCAATTGAACTAGTCATCAAGATGAGGGAAGTAACTAAACCACAAAAAATCATCTTGTAATTATGCATATAGCTTTTTTTTGGCATAAATAATTATGCATATAGCATCAAGAATATAAACATTCAAAAGTGGTAATTGCCTAGCAATTAAACGGAAAATGAACCAAGTGGGACCTAACTTCTTTAACTATTTATAGCCATCATAATGCGGAGGATTTGGATAAAATAACAAAGACAATGTTTAACCTCACTTCATACCTCATTCTCAATCACAGCTATCCGCTTCCCATGATTTTCTGTCAGAATATGGTTGAGCAACGTCGTCTGTTTAGCACAAGACAGCGGCATATAACTACACCAACCACTACTTTCAGATTGTATACGCACTCAGATGGAACGATTTTTACAGAAGATGCAAAGAAGGATAAAAAAAAATGCTGGCAGCAGAACTAAGTCGTTCTTAATGAAATTTGAAATTTTTCGGAAATCGCATTCCCAGATATCAAAAGAATTCGTGTCAAACAATGATTAAGAAAAACATATGATTCGAATTTATTTATCCCAAAAAGCTTCTTCCAAAATAACCCCAACGTCCCTGTTCGTATCTCAATCAACCAAAATCACAATTATCGCATTACCCATACTCACACATATTAAGCTTCAGCTTTAGCTACACATACACCTGTCTAACACTTACCTTGCCAGAACCTAGAAACCCAGTAATTATGGTGGCGGGAATCCGGTTATCAGATGGAATCTTAGTGGAAACATTGGACTCCTCACTCTGCGGCGTCGTGGCAGCGGTGGCGGAGACTGAAAAGAAGCGGCTGCGTTGGCTGCGCTTAGTTGACTTAATGGAGAATGCTCCGGAGTGAAAGAACGGCGGCGTTTGGGAGAAAAAAGACAGGGTCCTGTGACGGGCTTTAGGTGTGGATAAGAGAGGGAAAATCGTGGTGCAGCGAGAAGAGAAGGTGAAGAAACTTGTAGCTACATCCAGTCTCGACAGCGTCGCCATTTCTATGGAGGTTTTTGAGGGTTTTTCAGGGTTTATGGATTTACTAGACGAGGGAGGAGAACATAGCAGTAGCAGGAGGGTTATAGATACTTGAAATGGAGATGAGATTTTTGTTTTCGCCCTTCTGGTTCGGAAGGCTTCTGCGTTTCAATAATTTAAAAAAAAAAATTAAATTAAATTAAATAATTTATATGAAATTAAATAGTATGAAAAATTAAAATATTATGTAAATACAAATTTTATTAATTAAAACAGTTAAATGATTTTTTAATAATAATAAGTTTTATTATTAAAAATTAATATCATAGTTTATATTTATTTTAACAGAAGCTAAATTTTTTATAAGACTTAATTCATCATAGTTTGTGAATTAATTTTATACTATAAGATTTTTTTTTGGACCCAAAAATCAAAGGCAGTCTTTTTGTCTATAGTAAGTGTATAATAATCATATGATAAGTACACTTATTTTATTAATAAGATCTAAACTTTATATTAAATGATGTTAATATTATTAAGGTGTTAATTGTGAAGTTTGTCAATTCCACATGTTAAATTTCGAAACATAACCCAAATGATTAATATAAAATAGTTTTAAGTAATTTCTACCATTAAAACTTATGATTAGTTAGTGTCACTACATAAGACTTACATGAGAATACATAAGAATACATATAGTAATTTGAGGTTACACCCACGGAGAATATATGTATATATATATATATATATTATCAGAAGAGGGAAATGTATTATAAAGTGATTAGAGATAGAAGGATGATGAAGGTGGTGAAACAATGGAGATTTTGAAGAGAGATTGAGGCTTGTTGATGAGCTGAAACTTGCAGATATCTCCTTGCTGAAGAGAATTGTATTTGGCAAATGCAGTCCAACCAGCAGATAATATATATGCACTTGGATAGTGTAATAGCTTCACAACCCACCATTTGCTCTCACCCTCACCCATCCTTACTCTCACACTCCTTTCATCTCCCTTCATGTGTTTCCTCACAAATTCTTTTGGTATCACCTGCACCATCCACATCCACATCCACTACATATATAAACATATATTTTTACATACATACCTAGCTAAACTACTATCATATACTAGTATATTAGCATGTACAGTGAAATTAAGTGTGTTGATTTGTTGTTACCAGCTTAAATGGAAGGTTGGTACATTCTTTTTTCTATAAAAATTGTAAGTTTGAGTTGAGTTGTATTTTTATTGTATTGTGATTTATATATATATATATATATTATCTATATTTTTTATTAAAATGGGTTTGGCATGGACATACAACTGAGCCTTTGTACTGTATGACCACTTCGAAAAACGGAGTTTCAGTACTGCTAAAGTCCCTTCCGGCACTGATCATCTTCTTCTTCTCTTGATCAAACCCTACATGGAAAACAACGTAGAAGTTTATTGATGATGATGATGATGATAATTAATTCACGTGCATGCCGAAAGCTCTGAAATTCATTCCCAAGCAAGAAAATTTTATTGATCACCTGAGAAAATGGTAACATTTAGACAATGTTTGGAGCTTCTGATCAGCTCAAAATCACAAATATCACCAGCTCTTAAATTGTTGTCTTCCACAAATTCTCTCCAACTACGATGAAAAATGGCTTTTGGTTTACCGTTACAGTTTTCCAGTCGATAATGAACCAACCAACTTCTTTTATTCATCATAAGAACAACTTCTCCACGTTCCTGCTTGAAATGATTCTTGCAGAACTTGTATGGTACGTTCTGCAGTACATACATATATATATATATATATAAACAAACTAAGTTAAGCTAATTACTTATTGATGGAATTTAATTAGTTGGTTTTATTTAATTAATCAAGATATTACAAGTATAAACAGAGGAGCAACATATGTTGGTCGCATGTAAACACTGAAAGAAGGATTCTTCTGATCATCATCATCATCATCATCATCCGAGTTCAGGCCTCTCTTATGATCTCCACCTGCTGTCTCAACATCATGATCAATATATATATATATATATAATAGTTTATGATATATATACATACATATATACAGACATATATATAAACATATATATAACCCTTTGGGAGCTATATTAAAGCACTACGTAGCATGTGTATTATGTTTAATTAATTAAAGACCTGATATCCCAAGGTGAGTTTTGGACGTGGAAATGGCGGTTCTCATCATCTTGGAGGGCCTAGGAGATGACATTAATGGAGATACTGTGCGTTTAATGGGTTTCATGAACTGATGATCAACAGAAGATTGATGTTGATGTTGATGTTGATGTTGATGATGATTTTGTTCAAGTATTGTTGGAGGAGAAGAAGGATACTGAATCTCAGTTGCAGTAACATCAAAAATAAGAACATGGAAAGCTTCATTTCCGTGGTATCTAAAAACCAGAAAGTGACCATAGCTTAAAGAATAATGGCGTGCAAATTCTTCCCATCCATTTTCCAGCCAAAAATCATTTTCACCATATTTTTTCAACTCGACTCGCCATTCTCGACCGTCTGCCACATTAAGCACTGCAACTTTTGGCATCTCTTCTCCAATCCCCATTGCAAACTTAGTTGGTATTTTCTGCTAATCACTCAGGATTAATGAATAATGGAAATCAGACATAATATATGATGAAATATATGTATACACATATATATATATATAAGGAGTGTTATGAGGGGTGAAGAACGGTTAATTACTTACAACGTTGGTATTTTGGTGAAGAATGACCTTGAAGAAATGTTTACCCTTGTTCATGGCTGTCCTGCATTCATTCATGACCAAGTGCTTTGAATATATGCATGTACGTATGTGTATATATATATGTATATGTATGTGTAGTGGACGGTTATAAGTAAAAATGAGAAAGTTTGTTATTTGCAACTGAGTATAGAATCAAAGTGTAAGTGCGTGTCTGGTGATCGACCTACAAGATCAGAATTACATGTATATATGTATATACTTTGTTGACCGGTCAATATATATATATAAAGTTTGCTGGAACATATATATGTTGTGAGTGTACCATCACTTCCTGCAACCAATCAAACCGATCCCTTTAAATATCTTATTCTTCTTTTTTTATTATAATATTTTTATAATTATAATTTTAAAATAAATTTTTTTATAATTATAATATGCCATTTTATTTTAAGAAAAACTATGGAGAAGTAAAAGACTAATCATAAGCTATATACTCACTTTTTAAAAATAAATTTGAAAAAATTATATAATCATAAATGGAATAATTTGAATATAGTTTGTAACAATAAAAGTGAATTAAGAATATCTTACAAGCATAAATTATAATATATTGTATCATAGTTTTTTCTTACCATATCTTAATTTTTAGTGGAAATTGCATAACGAATGAAGTGTGCTTAAAAATATGTATTATTAAGAGTTTATATAATCAATTATATTTTTATACTTAAAAAATTTAAGTTAATAACTATTATATATGTATATATGTTATCATATCAATTTTATTTCATATTTAAAATTTAATTAATGCATAATTTGTTGTTAGACTAGATTTAAATTATGTTTTTATATTTAAAAGAAATTAAATTATATTTTTATGTCAAAAATTTAAATAAATAATTATTATATATTATTATATTAATTTTATTTTAATATTTACAAATTATTTAATACGTTTAGTACCTAATTTACAATTAGTTAAAATTAATTTATATTTTAAATAATTTATTATATAAAAATTTAAAAAGCATAGATGATTTATAAAAAAATTAACATATTGACAATTTCTTGCTTTTGTACTTTATAATAGGGATTATTAAAGAAAGTTTATGTTTATGTTTATGTTTATGTCGTGGGGTGGAGGTCTAAAATAGTAACGTATTTATGTTTTTATTCAAGAAAATAAGAATTTAGATTAAACTCAATCCGAAGACATTAGATACAGTTGAAAGGAAGGAAGAGCGAAGTATCTCCCAGTTTGCACGGTGGAGAAGAATGTATTTTTAAAGCTTTTGATAAAATAGCATGAGAAAACACAAAGTTGGATTAGGAGAACTGAGCCACCTCTTTCTCGCCATATACATGGAGCTTTAACACTCGGAAAACTTCTGGAACTGCTAGTAATCTGGCACTCAAATCCAATTTTTAGCTTGTCTTCTTCTTCTTCCTCTTCTCTCTCTCTCTCTCTCTCTCTCTGTATATATATATATATATTTCTCTCTGTTCACTTCTCCAAAACAAATATGGTTGAATTTACCTTGGTTCAACAAACTCGAGATGCACTCCAAAGTTAGGCGGCCCGTTGAAATTGTTCATTTATTAATACATGCGTATGAACTATGCACACCTTACTTGACGACATTATTTCTCAGCTTTGATCTTCCAAATTTATAACCATCTTCTGTTTTTTTTTTTTCATTCACAATCTTTCTAAAACCATTCATTTACAAACATGTATCTCATTAGAAGAGAAACCCAAAAAGGATTTGCTTCTTCACATGAAGTCGAAAGAACAAGACGACAGAAAGCTTTTAAGTTGGTAAAACATCAAGGGTTGAAATTGAAATCAATTAAAGATTTAATATTAGACTACCACACTGCAAGTAGATATGTAAAACAGAATTCCTATTCAACAATTGAAAGAAACCATTAAGGTGAAGAAGGAAAAAAAAAAAAAAAAAAAAAAAAAAAAAAAAAGGAAAAGAAAACATAAAAATTTTCCTTTATAATTTCTTTCTAAAGGGAGAAACAAGAAAGAAATATTTTACTGTCGATGTCCCTACGGCATTTACCTTACATAGTATCAGATCCAACATGTCAAATCTACATCTTTGCAGCTTGTTCTTCAAGTAAATTACATATCAACCTCAACTGCAAAATACATCACAAACACAATTAAGAAGAAAAATATTTAAGAACAGCAAACATAATGAAATAAAATATCAATAACAATAATACTTTAAAGAAGATACCGTTAATTAACTTTAAAACTCACACTAAAATTGTGTTCAATTTTAACAAATAAATTTATTAAATAATCAAACTCACAAATTAGAAAGACTAAGATAAATATAGATAAACTTAATTCAAGCATTTTCATCAATTTCTGATCCTGCATAGAATAAAATATTTTATTTTCCAAAATATTATGTATTGCAACTGGTTGTATCGTTTATAGTAACCAGTTTTAATGGGTCTTGGCCGCTTTACACATTCTTAACCAATTTACAGGTTTTGACTGGTACTCTACTTGATAAGAAACTTTATCTGTACCATACAAGCCATGACAAACAGTATATGCTAACTGACTCTGAACATTACAGAAATAGAAGTGCACTTAAGAAGGAAATTTCTGCTCTACTGGTGCGACTTTTTTGGATGACCCACCTTCATTGGTGAATGTTAAATAATGTGATTATTTTAAATTATTATTGTAATTTAAAAAAATTAGTACCTTTTACCGTAAACTTTACACTTGGAAATAACATTCATTATAGATTGAAAGATCAAGAGCTTAATCCTAATTGAAAATTCAAAGACCTAAATTGCTACTGCAAAACTTAATAGAGATCCAGCATTTTCATTTTCTGGATGAATATTAGTAGCTTGGTTTAACAGATCATCAGATGTAGATGACCATCAAACTAACTGTGCAGGTGCAGGTGCAGGTATAAAAACCATCCTTAACGAAATCGGGCAGAGAGACCAATATGAGAGCAAGACATACCTAAATTAGGAATGGGCCAGCAAGCATGTAAAAGAACTTGTATTCTGGCAACCACTTCATTATCTCTGGGCTTGATCTGAGCCTGAAGCTCCAACTGGAGGTGTAGCAGGCACGCTGCTTGTTGATCCATTCTCAGCAGGTGGAGGAACACCCCATTTGCCTTCAGATTCAAGGGGCTCAAAGACATGAACTCCACCGTCTGAGAGCCCCAACGCAAACTGATTCGGTTCTTGTGGATGTGCAGCAATCACAAGAGGGTGAACGGTAGAATTACTGCATAAAAGGAAAATAATTTTTTCAGCTGTGCCTACAACAAACATAGGATATACAAGGAGCCACAAAGAACCATGACCACGTAGAGACAGTGATTGCAAGATGAATATCATGAATCGAATTCGATTCCTATTCTTTTTCCAAGAAAATTTAACTTTGGCAAAACATTACTAGCTTAAAGCTGAAGCAGCCAAGTTGTGCTGTCACAAGTCAACAGGATTAAAATCACAGCCAAGATGGGGTGCCTGCCCTGGTCTGTTGGTCCTCCACTCACCCCTTGGGGTGGGTGCAGAGAAAAATTTTGCTTCTGCCTCCTCTGCCAGCTTATGTACAATAAATTACATCATTAAAAGAAAACATGACCAATGCTTGAAGCATTTGTGATACAGAGAACATTTTCACTCTATTTGGAGAAAATGTAGAAAGAAGTATCAATATCTTCATCGAGAGAAATAGAAGGATTTCATATTGACAATTACAGTTAACTTCAATACGAGAATTACGATGGAGGACAGATTAATCATCTTCATTAGCGAATAACACTATTTTTTCCAACACTAATTTATTATGAAATTATTTTCTACCATGCAACTGCTGTTGAGCTCTTCAAATCTGGGAATTCTTAGTCTTGTACAATTTGAACTGATTGGTGACCGTAAAAGGTCATTATCAATTTTTTTTATAAAAAAAAAAGCTCGAAGCCATGTCAGGAAATTGGTGAACAAACTTTTAAGTTAAAACATATGAAATTGTCAGGTTTCCAGCAAACCAAAATGAAACCAAGCTTTTAAAACCTAAATACTACATCAAGGATATCTAGAAATAACATAGAAATCACGCATGTAACAGTAAACTGTATTTAACCCACAAAAACTCCCACTAGTAAAGACAGATATGGAAATTAATTTCAATATATAGCTAGGTTAAGCAGCTCAGGGAACTAACTACCTGACACTAGCAGGCAGATAAGCAGAAGGGTTGATAGTACAACGCAGTCGGAGGTTTAGAGCACTGAAAACAGAGACAGTTGCATCCATAAAGCTGGCATAAACCAGCTGGCTATCACATGAGAATGTTGCATGAGTAATTGGAGCAGATGATTCACGTGGACCCCACTAAAACAGCAAAAGAGAATATTAAAAATAATAAAAAAAATTAAACTGTCAACTCCACACCAAAATGGACTTGGAGAACAACATACCTGCTTTAGGCATTCTAGCTTTGTAGTTTCGTATATGGCAAGTTGAGTCTCGTGTACGACGAGGAAGTGAATCTGGTCTTGATGAAATTGCACACGTGTATCTGACTGTGTAGTTGTTGTCCTCCCAGATGGAAGCTGCAAGGATCTAGTTTTTTGTTTCTCCCATCCATCCGTATTCCATACACAGAGCTGTTTAAAGAAAAAGAACAGATAAGCACCATAATAAGTGAAGCATAAGCAGAAATTTGATTATAGCCTAATGCCAAAAGAGCATTTATTGCATTGAACGTTTTCCTTAGGTACTTGGAAATTTCTGGACTATTTTAATGAAATCTGAACAAAGAAACAACAGATTTGGGGTTGGGGAAAGAAAAGGGAATTGCTTTGTCACCTTGGGTCATCAAAATAATCATCAATTTTACAATATAATAGCTACGAAAGGATGAGAAGTGAAGAAGTTTATGAAAAAGCAAAAATAAATGTAACTTGTTAAAAGAAACAAATTGGTAATATAGTATGTATGTACATACATTCTTTCTAAGAATATATTTACTAGCTAGATAATTCTGTTACAACAATCAATGCCACCACCTATTTGAATGTTTTACCTGAGCATCGGCCCCTGATGAAACTAGCACATTCTGTGCATGAGAGAAAGCAAGGCCAGTTATTCTTTTAGAATGTCCTTTGAGCTTGCTTTTAACCTGCATCAGCAAAAAATATCAGCATGTAAGATCTGTTACGTCTCAAACTGATAATGGTGCATGTACAGAAGGGAACGGTAATAGGGATTGGATTGCGAATGTGACGAGAAATCTCAATGATTGAGAGGTTAAAGAGTATCAGGCCATGCTACAAGCTCTTGTCTAATATACAGTTGAATGATTCCAGTGATCAGATCGTGTGGAAGCTGAAGAAGCATGAAGAATTAACTGTCAAGTCCTTTTACCATCACTTGATTAGACGAGAAGAAAAGGTTTTGAGTCAGTTCCTGGTCAGCCAGATTTGGAAGGTGAAGGCTTCTCCAAAAATAGTTTTTTTGCTCGGGAAGCGGGAAGAGAATGCATCTTGGCAATAGATAAGTTGATGAGAAAAGGAAGAACTACAGTGAATGGGTGCTATTGTGCAAGAAAGCTGCTGAATCTTGTAGTCATATTCTTCTATTGTACCTGATGGTTTATAACATTTAGACTATGATCTATGGCCTTCTGGGACTTCATTGGGTCATTCCGGGTCAGTGAGAGATGAGCTTTGAGCTTGGGAGAGGATATGTAAAAAGAAAAATTATATGAAATTTATTCCTTTCACTATTTTCGAGTGGTGTGAAAAGAGAGTAATGCTAGAGCATTTGAGGGGATAAGTGGGAGAAGTCTAAAGTTAGGGATAGATAGTTACACATTTTTGAATCTTCAATTTTGGATCATGAAATTTATAAGTTGGAGGATTTTAGAAATATCATTGATACACTAACTGATTTGTAAATTTCTTGTACAGGGGCGGCCCCTTGGTGCTTTTTACTTGATATGTTTATCCTTTTTATCTCAAAAAGAAAAATCCCCATAAACTACATTATACCTCATCTACACGGACATTATATATCTGTATTGTGGAGTCATCCATGCCAATAGCAATAATATTGTTATCTTGAGGATGAAATGCAAGAAATGTTGCTGCTGGTGGTGGTGGCATAAAGGTGGCCATTGTCTGCAATTGCACAAGAGATTGAACTTAGCCAGGTGGAAAAAGAACGAAAAGCAAACATTAAAAAACCAGGATTTCAAAGGTTACCTTAAAAGTCATCATATTAAATAAAGAAATCTTTCCACCAGATGCTGACATAACATATGAATCATTTTTGGACAAAGCAAAGCAGGGCACAGCCTCTTCAGGATTTGTGTCCGTAACATCATTAGTCATCAGAATACCACTAGATGGTTGCCAAAGTTGAGGTGACACGTTGGCTGTCGCCTATACCCAATGAAGTACCAACTTTGAGAATAAAATAAATTATTTTCCATATTTTCAACAGAAAGCAGCTGTTCCTTTAGAAACTAAACTGTTCTTATACCTTGCCAGTTGCATTTCGTTCACTCCGTTGCCATTTCCATAATAGATGAATAGCATTTGATGCCAGAGCCAATATGGCATTACCGGAATTTGTGAAAATTAACCTTGATATCTGTAATGATCAATGCATTGATGAGAACATACTCACTCTAAGCAGGTGGAAGCCAAATAGAAAAATAAAATAAAGACAGACATCTAAAGTTCAAATTTTCATAAAATATGGTAGTACCACCTCAATATTTCAAAAACAAAATGGTACTACCACCCAAAGCTCAACTAGATCATAATTCAATATAGACAAAATTCAAGAATTTGCACAGCTACAATCAAATAAACTTTATAAATGCAAATGAAGTTTATATTTATGAAGTAAACAGCCAAAATCAGTCAAGAATCAGCAAATGCCTCAATCCAGAAGAAGTCATGCCATCTCAAGGGAGAGCTCTTTGGAGAACTATATCTACTAAATGATAAGACTAAATACATTACATGCACTTTTAAGAATGAGTTCCTTTTTTTCCCTTTCTTATAGTTAAAAATTTATTCTCTTTACATAAATGCAGCCACATTAAAAGGGTGTCAGGCTCCTTATATATGTACTCAGTCAAGGTGTCTGGTAGAGAGTCGTTTTTAGGGTTTAGATATTTTCCGTCTCTGCTCTCTCTCTCTCTCCCCTTCTTCTTTCTTCTGCTAAAAACCCTAAGGACGACTCTCCACCAGACTCCTTGACTGATAACATGTCTAAGGACCTGACCTGACAAAGGGGTTGCAGTTTAATGCAAATTACTCCAGTTAGGCCAATATCTTACTAACTTCAGAGAAGTAGTAGTCAACATCAAAACAAACTAATTCAGCCCTTGAACCAGTCCATCATGTTGGCTTCTTTAATTAATTAGTTCTAACTCTAGATCACGCTTCCTGCTTCCCTTTACAAGATTTATAGAAGATCCATAGAATATCTAACTATCTCAACATTTTCACCCAACATAAACCAGAGTTAATTGCAAAATACACAATGATTTCCTGGTAGGTCCATCTCCCAAAATTTTGGTTGATTAATTACTATCTTAAAAGCTAGGGAGTATATTTACAGAAAGCTACATGTTCACCTCATCTTCCAAGAGCCATATTCTGAAACGTAATTTCAGATTGGATACAGTCCTTAAAGTTAGGCAAGAATATTATTCAATGTATCAGGATGACAACACTCAGTTTCCCATGCCATTCTTTCTTTCCATGTATGAATAGACAACTATGGAGGTCACTAAGTTTTGAATTAGATAAAATTAACGTCTGAATGGAAATTATGACAAGAAAATCATCTGGGAAAAGGCGTAAGTTGTGTTTATCACTTCACCATTATGTCAATGCCAAACTTACTACTAAAGTTTTCTTAGAGCCCAATATTAAGTCTTAGACACTAGGACGTTGATCTTCCTATGAGAACTACATATGGCACACAGCCCATATTCCCTTTGTTATAAGAAATCAAGCTTTCCAAGTGATTTAGATTTTCACATCTTAAAATAAGGAGCCACTTGGTTTTTGCATCACCTAATGTGAAAAGGATTGAACACTTAAAAAATCTCGCATAAAAAATCTCATCTAAGGTTGGACGGAAGCTGCCACAAGTCATTTGCATAAAATAAAGGATCATGAAGCACACAAAAAATCAGTAAATGATAAAATATATTGTCATAAAACAGTCAAATAGTTGAAGTTCTGTAACAGAAATATTCAATCAATTATTATGACCGAATTCATCAAGAACCATCTGACACAATAATTGTTAATACCTTGGTCACTCTCAAATTTTCAGGAAGCCTTAAGGACCGACATTGAGATGGTTCATTGATTTCTGTGAGCTTCCAAATTTTCGATTTATCATTGGACTCCTCAGTGATTCTAGGTTTCACATCTCCCAAACTTCGAGCATCTCCATTCTGTAAATGTTTTGTCCTTGTCAGTCGAATACAAAGGAACAACTTACAGCCGTCCAGCACCATGTTCCACTCACATAGAGATATAATAAATAATGCGAAAATAAAACAAAATGAAACAAAAATGAAACTTTGGAAATAAACTACAGACCATTCCAGGGATAGATACCACAGAAGCAGCTCTATCTGCTAGTCCAGCACTAGTAGCACAGCTGCAGCTGCAGCTGCAGCAGCAGCTGCTGAAAATTGGATT